ATTTCACAGATTACATTAATCTAGGGTGAGAGGTGCAGTGTAAGAAAATGTCCTGAGTAAGAGCTTGTGTGTGTGTTGTGATGCTGGTGGTAGGGGACACTAGAGACCAGGGGAGGGTTCCTCAACAGCAACAGCATGTAAACAGAGCCCTAAAAGATTGGAAAGGGGATCGCCATCCTTGGGCCCAGGGAACAGTAGGATCAACAATTTGAGAGCATAAATAAATCTTTCCCAAGATTGTCAACGGTTCTTGTTAGGGTAGGGGCATCATCTTCTTGGGCTAGGACAGCAGCCAACTGACCTCTCCCTCTGCAGTCAGAGATCATGATAACAAGGTCTTTATCTCAAACCCTCTGTGTGTGTGTGTGTATTTGTGTGTGTGTGTCTATGTCTGTCTATGTCTGTGTCTCTGTGTGCCTGTGTCTGTCTGTGTGTGTCTATGTGTGTCTCTGTGTCTGTGTGTCTTCCTCCCTGTCTGCTTGTCTCCCATTCTCACTCATGGCAGGGTTTCTGGCTCTCTAACTCAACAGGCAGAGCCAGCAGCAATTCCCCAGCCTCAGAGCAGGCTGCTTTTGCCTGAGGACCATCCCAACTCTTACAGTTTCTATAGCCCTACCTGGTGCTCTCTAATAACAACCACATGTGCTGAGCCTCACCATGAATTGGTCCAGGTCATAAAAAGTATGGAGATGGGAGCAAGGGGTGTCATTTATCTGGTAGCATGCTTCTCGGCACAAGGCCCTGAGTTTGATCTCCTGCACTGCATAAACCAAGTGAGGTGGTACATGCTTATCATCCGAGCACTGGGCAAGTAGAAGCTGGAGGATCTGAGGTTCAAGGTCATCCTTAGCTATATGGTGAGTTTGAGGCCAGCCTTGGCTACATGAGATGATATCTCAGAAAAATCAAGTAGACTGACCAGAGACATCATTTCCACGGCAAGATAGATAAATAGCCCCACACCAGCAGCATCTGCAGACCAAACTAGGACAGAGTGGGCAGTTCATTACTGACACCCAAGATTGTTCTCTGACCTCCATGTGTGCATCATGGCAGGTGTCTGCCCGCCCCAGACAGAGAGAGAGGGGAGGGAGATGATAGATAGATAGACAGACAGACAGATAGATAGAGATAGATGATGGATGGATATATGGAAGATGATAGACAGATTGCTAGATGGATAGATAGAGGATAGATTAATAGATTGATAGATGGATAGTTGATAGATGATAGAGAGATTGATAGATTGATAGGTGATAGATAGATAATTGATAGATGATGGATAGATGATACATACATACATAGCTGATAAATAGATGATAGAAAATTTTCATCTAGCCTTATTGTAATGAGATACAGAGCAGACCATGAAGAGCCTTCAAAGCAGCCTACAGAAGCCAACATGGAGAAGCCAACATGCCCTGACTTCTACCAAACAAGAGGATGAGAGATTAAAGGAACCATGGATCCAGTGTAGCAATGAAGTATGGGAAACCTCTCACTCTGCACCCCTGGGAGTTAGATGAAAGCTTTCTTCAGATAAACAAAAGTTTTGAGAGCTTCCCACTCTCCTCCCACATACTTTGAATCAAAGGAGATTTTCTTCCTTCTCCTCCTCTTCTTTCCTCCTCCCCATTCTCATCTCACCCCTTCCCCTCCTCCTCCTCCTCCTCCTCTTCCAAGACAAGGTTTCTCTGTGTAACAGCCCTGGTTGTCCTGGAACTCACTTTTAGACCAAGATGACCACAAACCCACAGAGCTCCACCTGCCTCGGCCTGGAGTCCTGGGATTACAGCTGTGCACCCCACCTGGTCCAGAGGAGACTTTCAATCACCTTCTTGGCTAGTCAGAAAATAGAATCCCGGAATCTGTCTCTGAGATAACAAGAAGTGATAAACAAAAAACAAAACAAAACAAAACAAAGCAAAAAAAAGGAGTCATGATCACAGTATCCCATGACTGAGGTCTTCGGGATTAAAGGTAGGCTGTAGCACTGTAGAGGCCAGGGTTGCTAGGAACCCCTGGTGTCCCTTCTGACTACCTGAGATGGGACATTTGGAAACAATGGGTGAGCTGTAGGTCTTGGTCAGCTGACCCTGCACAGTAGGTGTGAGAGGGACACTAAAGCAATGGATGTGCCACTGGAGCATGCCACCAAATCACCGGGACGTCCACAGAAGCTAGGCTACCCCTGAGTCTCTGCTCCAGGAGCCAAATCACCGGGACGTCAACGGAAGCTAGGCCACCCCTGAGTCTCTGCTCCAGGAGCCATGAGGTCCTAAAACCTTTACCTCTAGCCTGTTACTGGGCGATGTTGACGTTGATGTCTCAGGGACCACACTCTGAGAACAATTACATGCAAACTAAAGACCTAGAGGGCGAAGTTCCCAACCCACCAGGGAGGGAAGAACAGAGTGAGGCAGTGAAGAGCAAAACCCCTATGTTGACCTTCAACCTCCAGGCCAGACCATCCTCCCAAGCACTTCATGCATTGGACTAGACATGATTATTTGGGGCTTTGTGGGCCTGATGACTCTGCCACCGACACCCACGTCCTCAGTGTGGTCAAAATCAGATGGGGAGGTGAGGAACTGAAGGGCGTGGCTATGGTCTGACAAAAGGAATATTAGATCAGGACTTTGTCTTCTTCCCCTGGCTGGGGATGGAACCAAGGGCCTCGAGCATTCAAGGTGAAGGCTACTGGTGAGCCATGCACATGCTTTTCAGAAAAGCAGGCAAGGGGTTGGATGTAACCCTGTGCCAATCCCTGTGTTTGGCACCTATGGTGGCCTTCATGGGGCCTGAGGCCTCCTGGGAAGCCTCTGTAGCAAGGCTGGGATCAGTGTATTGTCAGTATTCTTAGCATCTTGTAAGGTGTGTGCGTGTGTGTGTGTGTGTGTGTGTGTGTGTGTGAGAGAGAGAGAGAGAGAGAGAGAGAGAGAGAGAGAGAGGTGTGTGCACGCATGTTGATGGTGGTAACAAATCCCCGATTCTCATCCCAGTCCTCTGACTCCAACCCTTTGGTTGAGCAGCTAGGCTGTAAACGTGACTTATTTCTACTCTCAGAACTGAGAAGAAGGGGAAATAAACCCCGAACTGATGGAAGCCCAGGCATGGAAACTGATGTATCAGGCCTGCATTCGGGGAATAACAGCTTAGTTGATGCTTTATGACCCTAAAGACACCCCCTCCTGCCACATTCTCCACTTTATTGTTCAGATTTGGGGTAGAAAGCAGGAGGGGGAGCTGGCTGCCTACCTAAACTGGAGTGTGTGAGTTGATAGTGGGTGCCTATATGGCCCCTTGGGCTCCCCTACCTTGTGCTCCATACACAGCTCCACCCATGCACATGCTGCACGCACACACAGACGCACATGCACACATGCATACATGCACACTCATGCAGTTATTAACAATGTCATTGATCATCCACGGATAAAGATTTTTAACATTTACTCATGTTGTACTGTGTGTACATCAATGTATGCATCTTGAACTCCTGATCTTCTCGCACTGGGCTTACAGGAGTACACCACCATGTGCAGTTCAAAATCACACATCTCACATATTTCTGCATGTGTATATTCATACATGTTCATGCCTGAGTCTGCAGGTACACACTTCACATTCAGGTGCACACGCACGTATTTGTGCATGTGTATGCAGGCATGGGTACAGGTGTGCGTTCCTGTGTGTGCATGCAAGGATGGAGACCATGGACCAAGTTCAGCTCTCCTGCCCCAGGCACCATCCACCTGTGTTTTTCGAGCCTCTTGCTGGACTATGCCCTCCTCGTAGCCAGGCTGTCCGGCCAGGGAGCCCTAGGGATCCACCTGTCAGCACTTCCCACAGCCCTGGGATTGCATGAATGGATCGCCATCCCTTCTTTCCACATAATTATAATTAGTGCGTGTATGTGTGGGAGACGCATGTGCACGGCGTGTGTGTAGAGACAGAGACCGAGGATTACTGTGGAGTCAGTTGTCACCTTCCGCTTTTACATGGGTTGAAGTCAGGTCACCATGCTTATAGAGCGAGCACCGTCAGCCACTGGGCCATCCTGCCGGGGCCATCTACCTTTCCTTTTTACGTGGGTCCAGGGAATCCAACTCAAGTCTTCATGCTTACAACACAAGCACCATACCAACCTGTTTGGGGGTTCATTTCCTTCTGTGTATGAGGCTACTCCACGGACAGGTTTCCATGTGTTAACGGATGCAACTGGGTCCCATCTATCTCAAGAAAACAAGTCACCTGTTTGCCCAAAGTGCTCCTTGCCACTCTGCATCTACAATAGTGTAAAACTGGGAACAACCTCCGCTCCACCACCTCCCTGAGCCTGTGCAGAGTAAAACAAGCCATGGATGTCCTTCCGACACTGTCCAAAGATTGCAGTGGAATTCTCCACTGAGAAGGGACAATGTCCCACACGCTGTCTGGCCAAAGCATCAAGCAGGACAGAACTATGCATGCGGGGCTGCGAGCAGGGGCGTTTGTGTCTCCCGGAGACTATTTAACTAACTACTAGCAGCTGCTGTCTAGGGCCGGCATTGGAAGATTTGCATTTCTGCATTAGGTTTGTTTCTCTCTGGAATATCACGTTTCTTCCTCTTTGGGAAGAACAGAGAAGACTTTGTAATGGGGGTTGGGTGGCCAACCAGAGCCACTTTGACTGATTGATCGATTTGACAATTTCATACATCTATTGATCATATTCATCCCCACCCCTTCCCATTCAACTCTCCCTGGGTCCCCCCCCACACACACACTACACATATCTCCCTTCCAACTTTCTTTCTCCTTCCTCTTCTTTAATGATCTCTGAGACCTATCAGATTTTCTTGTGTGTGCATGGATGTAAGGCCATCCCCTGGGGCATGGGCAAACACTACCAAGAGAGTCACTTTGGTTTTGCGCCTTGGAGTCCCCTCTCCCCACCCTCACCCAGAATGTGGCTCCCCACACACACACAGCGAGGTTCTGTGTCCTGTGTGTTGCAGACTCCGACAGCCAGTGCAGTCCCACACGGCACAGCCTCAGCCTGTCCGAGGGCGAGGAGCAGATGGACCGGCTGCAGCACGTGGAGCTGGTGAGGACCACGCCCATGTCCCACTGGAAGGCTGGCACAGTGCAGGCCTGGCTGGAGGTGGTGATGGCCATGCCTATGTACGTCAAGGCCTGTGCAGAGAATGTCAAGAGTGGGAAGGTAGGCAGCTCGGGCCCCTGGGGGATGCCCCGTACCTTCCCGTGTGTGCCCTCCCCTCCCAGAAGTCGACTGTGTCCTCTGAGGACAAGAGGAGGTATAGTCTAGATGTGGACCGACTTATTGCATGTCCAGGTCACCAATAAACCAGTCTCCTTAGCAAGGAACAACAGCCCCTTGGAGTCATGCTACTTGGTCCTTAAAACGGGACTAACTTCAGCTGGTACCCAACCTCTCCTTAGCTGGCAGAGAGGAACAGGGCTGGACTGGGGAGTTCTTTAGCCTAGATGGTGGCCTCACCCATCTTGGTCCAAACAGGATCCCACCCAAACAACAGAGAAATAACAGTAGCTGAGCCCAGGACCTCTGGAGCCCAGTAGGGGTGATGCAAAGACACAGCCATGCATCAGAGAGAGCTGAAGCAGAATGGTACAAGGTGATATGGCTCCCACAGTTCCTAGAAACAGGTTTTATTATTTTTAATTTTTTAATTTTTTTTGAAATACAGTTTCTCTGTGTAGCCTTGGCTGTCCTGGAACTCACTCTGTAGACCAGGCTGGCCTTGAACTCAGAGATCCACCTGCCTCTGCCTCTGGAGTGCTGGATTAAAGGCATGTGCCACTACTCACTAGAGACAGGCTTTGTTGGGAGTTATCAACCACCACAGGCTGCAGAGGTGTCCTGGTGCCCTGTCTAGGGAGATGGGCTGGGAGGGGGATGCAGATGAGGAGCCCCATTCCCTCAGACCCTTCTGTACTGACCCCAGCAACAGAGACGGGGTCTGGGGCTCCAGGGGCCAAGGCCAGGCCCTTCCTACCCCTTGCCCCATCTCTTGCCTCTGGGCACTAAGTCTACCTCCTGCAGGTGCTTCTCAGCCTGAGCGATGAGGACCTGGAGCTGGGCCTGGGTGTGTGCAGCTCCTTGCACAGGCGCAAGCTCCGCCTGGCCATCGAGGACTACCGTGACGCTGAGGCTGGCCGCAGGTGAGCCACAGAAGCCTGGAAAGTAAGGACTTTCTGTCCTGAGCCTCGCTGTCACCAGGGCAACCAGGTTTCAGGATACTGAGTGTAGCAGAGATGGTCCAGGTGTGCCCTGCCACCATAGAAAAAATGAGCACACAGAGGGAGGCACACATGCCTAGAACATGGGTGCCTACCTTCACCCCAGAGCAGGGGTCAAGAGAGTGAGTGGCTCCCAGCACTCTTCTGCCCACCTCAGCTGGTGGTGACCAGGCCACACACAGCTAACACGTCTGCTTTACTCAAAACTCAGGTCTATTCATCCCAGAGTGAAGGAATGAAGCGGGAGGGTAGATAGTAGACACAGAGGAGACAGAGGAGACAAAGGTCCTAGAGAGTCTCAGGACCTTTAGGAAGTCTTTTACAGGAGCAGAACCAACAGGTCCAGGCCTCTCTTAGCAGGTGCACCTGACGGTGGCTGGCAGCCGTTCCCTCCAGATTGTCCTTACTGGAGCACACTTCCCCCCAATACCACCCCCTCCCAGCCCCACGCCTTTCCCACTCCTCTCTTGACCTCCTGGGGTTCCATCTTTTGAGCAACTCCTGTGGAAAGGGAAGCCTCCTCCCCCAACACCCAGTCCTTGGTGCTCGGAGTGGGAAGAGGCCAGTTTTGTAAACCTGCCGCGGTCTGTTTTGCATAATTATCTCCTTCGCTGGTTTCCCGTCGTTTCTGTACAGTTAATTAATCAAACCTGATGGTGTGTGCTACTATCTGCAGAAGCTGCTTTGTGGATTAACAGAGAGAGAGAGAGAGAGAGAGAGAGAGAGAGAGAGAGAGAGAGAGAGAGAACTGAGGGGTGAAGAAGGCCAGTTCTGAAGCAGAGAAACACAACCTTATGTGGCAGGAGAGGGGCCCTGGTGCCAGGTCGAGGTGGCAAGGGTTACAGACAGGGGTTCAAAAACTGGCAGCTTGGAGCCAGCAGCAGCAGAGGGTCGGGCTAGGACAAAGGGCTGATGAGGTGGCTCCAGGAGGCACCCTTCAACCCTGCTGGACTTTCATCCAGAGGGCTCCAGAAGCACCCTCTCAGCCACCTCCTGACCCCTTCTAGCCTCTGGACCCCAAAGGCCTCAAGTATCTTCCATCCTGACCTCTGGAACTAGTAACCCCCTCCTGCTCACACCACACCCTACATCCTGGAGGTGTCCTGCATGCTGCCCGTGTTCCTCAAGAATGTGGGGCTGCCGGCTTCAGCTTTCAGAAGTGCAGGGAGTCCCCACCACTGTCTAAGTATCCACCACTGTCTAAGTATCCACCACTGTC